AGGTCATGTCATTACACCCAAAGGTGTAAAACCATAGAAATAATACGAGTTTATTTCTTTGTGTAAAACCTAACCCCGATAAAGTAAAAGCAGTTTTAGACTACCCTGTACCTAAAACTCGCAAAGAAATCAAAGGATTTTTACGACTTATTGGTTATTACCGCAAGTTTATACGCGATTTTGCCAAATTAACAAAACCAATGACAATGTGCCTTAAAAAGAACGTCAAAATCGAACATTCTGACGAGTTTCTTAAGGCATTTGACAAATGCAAGCACCTTTTGACTAACGACCCTATTCTACAATACCCGGATTATGAAAAACCATTCATTCTTACCACCGATGCATCAAATGTGGCACTAGGAGAAGTCCTATCACAAGGACAAATAGGGAGTGATAGACCAATTAGTTACGCATCAAGAACCCTTAACGAAACCGAGCAACGATACTCGACCATCGAGAAAGAACTACTAGCAATAGTATGGGCTGTAAAATATTTCAGACCATATTTATTTGGACGAAAATTTTATATCTACACCGATCATAGACCCCTTGTTTGGCTTATGAAATTAAAAGAACCCAACTCAAAACTCAGTCGTTGGAGGTTAAAATTAGAGGAGTTTGATTATGAAATAATATACAAAAAGGGCAAACATAACACCAATGCAGATGCTCTATCGAGGATACAAATAAACGTACTAACTAGACAGCAAAAACGAGTAAATGAACATACCGAATCAATAATTCCCAACTTAGATGAGTTAGAAAACTTGTTAAGTGACTTAGATGCACCTAGAGAATTAAATACACCCCCACCGGAACAAGTAGAACAAAATCTTAGACCCCCACCTGCTACAGCCGAACTAACAGAGACTTTAGAAGAAATATTTGAACCAATACCACAAAATCAAAACGAAGATACCCTATCGTGACAGTATTCACTCCAACGAAAATGTCGAACCAAGGAACGGTATTCCCATTTCTGATGATGCCATTGAATCGAAGCCCAACCAATATTTTATTACACCTGTCTCGATGAACCCAAGAAAAGTCAAACACATTAAAATAGGAAAACAAAACAAATTGTTTGTTCAAATTTCTCGAAATAACAACGAACAAGAAATAATAGAATTTCTTAAAAACTACACTGCTAGTAATAAAACGTATTTCTTTAACTTTGACAACGAAAAACTTTATAAAGACTTTAGTGCAGTATATATCAAAATATTTAATGATAATGCCCCAAAAATTATAAGTTGTCCTAAACACAGAACTCCATTAATTGATAATGAAGAAATCGAAAACGTAATTGATAACTACCACAAAGGAAAAACCAACCATAGAGGCATTAATGAGACATTAAAACAACTGTCTAGAAAATACTATTTTTCTAAAATGAAAGACAAAATTACAACATTCATAAATAATTTTGACGAATGTCAAAGAGCAAAATATGACAGACGACCCCCAAAAATACCCATTATGTTAACAGAGACCCCCAGTAGACCCTTACAAATTGTACATGCCGATACCTTTACCATTGAACAACAAAATTACGTAACCATCGTGGATGCATTTTCAAAATTAGGACAAGCCATCCCAATAACATCTAAAAACGCAATAGAAACAGTCGATGCATTTTTAAACTATTTTAAATTTTATGGTTTACCGGAAACCATTATTACAGATAGTGGTAAAGAATTTTATACAGACACTGTAAAACAACTTTTAGAGTTACACAAAATTAATGTACATTTTACCACCCCTTATAATCCAGCTTCAAACGGTGTCGTAGAGCGCTTCCATTCGACAATTTTGGAACATATTAGACTAATGCGAAACGAATTTGAAAAGGACCCTATTAAACGGTTAGTCGATTATGCAGTTATTGCATATAACAACACGATACATTCTACAACCAATTTTACCCCCATAGAACTGACGCTGGGACATGCACAAAACAAAAATGACTTGGAAGACCAACAACAAATGCTTCAAGAGTACATCGAAAACCACAAAGAAAAGGTTTACATAACATATGAAAAGGTGAAAGAAGAAATTGAAAAGCATAAATTAAGAACACAAGGAAACCGAAACAAAAACGCCGATTCGGAACAGTTTAAAAACGCTACACAAGTTTATTCGAAACTTGACCAACGTGGCAAAACCACACAAAGATACGAGGGTCCATTAGAAATAATTAATATTAATGACAAAAATGTTGCTACATGTTCTAAAGGTCAAAAAATTAAAAAGGTGCATCGAAATTTAAAACACCCTGTATTTGTTACAGATGGCTCGTCATCCTCACTTCCGCCAACGGGGACGAAATCAACCTAAAAGAAATAAAAATAAAAGAAATAAAAAACAACCCTGGCATACTACCCATTAAATTAGGTAATGCGCAAAACGCCATAAATTATTGGAGTTTTATAAAAATAATTGATCTTAGTTTAGTTATACGTAGTCATAATTGCTTTTATAGTCAAATGCTTAAAATAATGAATATATGGCAAACCCAAAAAACTTCAGATACTTATCAAATCGAAGTTCAAAATATCAAAATTTATTAAATTACCAATTAAGTGAAATTAACAAAAATCTTAATCAGTTAATTCCGTCACCACAATCAAGAAATAAAAGAGGTATTATAAATGGGTTAGGAACTATTATTAAATCAGTTACAGGAAATTTAGACCAGGAAGACGCAAAGAAATATGACAACATAATTTCAAAAATAATTAATACACAAAATACAATTAAAATCTTAACCGAAAATCAAATTTCCATTACTAAAAATGCAATAAATAAATTTGAAAATAATTTAAATAAAATTTTAGAAAATCAAAATAAACTAGAAAAAAGAATTAATAACATTTCCTTAAACATCGAAGAAACTAATTTTGAGTTAAACGACTTTAAAAAAGCCTCCTTAATTCAAAACTTATACATTCAATTAATTAATGCTGCTGCTAACATAAAAAATATTTTGGATACTCTAACAAACGCAATAACATTTGCAAAATTAAGTATTTATCACCCTTCAATTCTAGAAACTCAAGAACTTTTTAACGAATTAGTTACCGTTACAGAATTACCTCAAAACCCCCAGTTACCATATAAAGTCAACTCTGATACGATCAATATTTACGAAAGAATTGCTGTAGTAAAAAGTTACATAAAAAATGAAAAAATATATTTTATAATTGAAATTCCAATTGTTGAAAAACTTCCATACTCATATTTCCACCTTTATTCAATTCCGGTAAAAACAATCCAGTCTTATAATATTATAATCCCACAAACTAAGTACCTTGCCCTTAATGAGAAATTCTACACTTTATCTAACGAACGTTGTAAACAAGTGGCCAACATGGAATTTTTATGTAATGCTCAGCAATCCCATAAGATATCACAGAATAGTCCGTGTGAAGTGCAACTGCTGCAATTTACAAATTCTTATAAAAAATGTGCCCAAAAACAAGTAGAAATACAAAACCCAAAATTTGAAAAATTAGAAGAAAATCGATGGCTTATAATTCTTCCAAATGAAACAGTTATAACTTCGGAGTGTCCAACATCAAAAGAAAAAATATCTCTCATTGGAAATTTTGTAATGGAAATCCCAGAAACCTGTCAAGTCCACATCGAAGAAAAAATACTTAAAACCTACCAAAATTCAGTTAAAAATACCGAAATTATAAAAATACCAAATATTGAAATTCCTGTCCTGCAAAAACCAGTCAACAGTAGACAAAAACCTTTGAAACTTGAAACCGTTCAGCTAGATGAAATCCATCCGTTGATAAAACAATTAGAAAACACCGAAGAAATGATCAGAGAAAATAATATTCCGAATTTTAATGAAAAACCCAACTTATGGACAATTTTCCTGTACGCCATTATTGCTTTTGGTTTAGCAATTATAATATTTAAACACCGATCAAAACTAACCCCAAAGAAAAAGACGTCAACCCCTGAAAAGGAACCAGAAGAAGAAGAAATCCAACTTAGAAATTTTAGGAAACCGTAAGGATGGACGAGTTACATCCTGCGAAGTTGCTGACCTATTAATAATATAATCTTATCTGCTGACATGTGTTTTTCAAAGAACATAATTTTGCTTTGTTTTATATTCATTCTAGATTTACTTAGCCTTGTGTAAACTAGTCTCGTAAGCTTGTTATTTGTAATTTTTAAATTAAATTTAAAAATAAATTTTTTTAAAAAGTTATTTAACAAATCAAGTTATTTAATTCACGTAAAATTTCGATTTTTAAAAAACCGGCTGCCGCTACCTAACGTACACTACGATATAGCGAGCGGCAGCCGGGCCACAAACAAAGACTGAACTTAATACAACAGTAAAGGCTATGAAACAACAAAAAATTTTTATTCAATTTTCTAAAGCAGGTTTTTAAATTATTTTTTCCTGCGAAGCCAAAACCAAAAACAGACAAATCCACATAATAATTTTTATTTTATTTTTCAATTATTTTACTTAAAAATACTAAATCGCATGGCGAGTGGAACGGCTGGATTCTACAAGAAAGAAAATTGACGATCATATATACAATGTGGCACAACATCGCCAGTGAACTGCGAGCCCTAGGACTCCCAGGACCCGGGAATAATTTATGTAAGCACCTCGGTGCCTTATTATATAAATTCATGCATGCACCCCATTGTTATATGAAAATTGATGTAAACTGTGATATCCTAATATGTAAATATACCTATTTGATTTGATTTGATTTGGTCCTCGTGAAAACTTGTGAATAGCAGCGGTGTTTTTAGTGCGAAAATCATGAATTTTGGACGCCAAGTGCGAAAGACAGTGACCTTAGTAGTGATCTAGTTTTGAACAATGGATTAATTAGGATTAGTGTGTAATCTTAGATTTAAGTGTAGTTATAAAAAACTAGGACGCTAAGCGCTTCGGTGCGCGAACTTGAAAACAACTTATACAGGCTGGACGCTAAAAAGTGCCAGTGGTAAAAATGTCCGGTGCGAAATCGGGAAGTGACTCTGAGAACAGCAAAAAATCCGGTAGTGATGATGACCAAAAATCTGATGATTCTAACCGCTCATCGACCCCCTCGGTGGAGGAAAGTCCCGAACCTGAGGTGGAAATTACAGCGAGTGAACAGCGAGACCAGAGCAGCAATAGTGGCTCTACCGTCTACGCTCAAACTGATGAAAACGATCGAAAGCATCTAGTGGGCAGCGGTAAAACTACTCCTACTGCGATTATAGAACCCTGCAATGAGGAAAAATTATCAAGTGTCGAAATACAAAATGTGTTGCTGCCATCTACTGGTGACAGCTCCGATGTAATTAGGAGATGTCAGCCCCATAAAGAAGGACAGAAAACGTCGTAAAATTAAAGGAAAATCGGATAATCGTGAGGGAAATAATAGCAGCACCTCCGGATCGCCTGAAGCCCTTAAAAAACCGAAAAAGTTTAAAAATACACTTGAAATAACCAGTGAAAAACACGGCGACAACTCTGAGAAATCTAACGATGAAGCTAATGAACAAATGGATGAAGAATATGAATCGTCAATCCAATCTTCTAATGAGAGTATGCCGGAATATCCTCCTGGACTACCAAAAAGCAAAGAGCCTGTCGAAAGTGAGTGCTACGACAGCCCTAAAAGCATTGTTCCATCTGTGCCCATTATTCAACACGATCTAAACATTCAGCAGAAAATTGAAAACATTTTTGGAGGCAGTGGAAAGCCAAAAACTCCATCCAATGCGAATAATTCAGAATTTATTATCCCCCGCAGAACTGTGCCACTAGAGTACTTAAACCGGAATAGGAACAGGGCACCTGTAACCCCAACACAAAACAGGTTCCAAGTTTTAGCTAACGAAAGGTTGGCCGTACAAGCTAATGCCCCTGCTGGCCCATCTACGTCCGGAACTGGCGTTTCCAAACCGCCTATCTCTAAACCTAAGGTGTCTTCAGCCCCAGCAAAGGCAATAAAAAATAAAAAACCACCCCCAGTGGTTATAAGTGGCACGTTTACCAACCAAAAAGCTTTGATCAACACACTTAAAACCAACATAAAAAAAGGATTTAATATCAAAAATACCAAAAATAATACGGTGATTCATATAGAGGAGGAAACTGAATACGATACGTACGTAGGGAGTCTAATACATGAAGAAATCGCATTCCACACCTACGCAAAGGGTACGGAAAAAACTCATGCATTTATTCTTCGTGGCCTAGATGCGGAAGACATCACGGAGGATGAAGTAAAAGAGGATATTATGAAGAATAACTCCGATACTTAAGTCAAAAAAGTATTCACCCTAAAAAGAAAAAACCCAACCCAGAAAAGGCTGTTCATGGTCGTCACGGATGCCGAAACAACACTAAAGAAACTACAAAATAATGTCAGATTTGTTTTGTACACCAGAGTGACATGGGAAATGAGAAAAAACGAAAAGAAAATGGTACAGTGTCACCGTTGCCAGGCATGGGGGCACGCAATGTCACACTGCTACAACGAATTTGCGTGCCTCAAGTGTGCGGAAGGACACTAAAACCACCGACGTTGCAGCTAAATGCATTAACTGTGCAGGCGACCATCCAGCCAATTCTGTGCTATGGGAACTCTACAGTACAGAATTAAAATAATTAAATTAAGGCAACCTGGTGCAAGCAACGTACGTTCTGAGCCTGCGCCGCCTCCACAACAAAATGCCTGGGAACAGAGGATGCAGCAACAACAACAGCAACAAAGAAGTGCCCCGCCCACCCAGACGCCCACTAAAACGCCATTAACCAATCGTATTGGTAAGTATCCTGCTACGAGTCACCAATCAGACTTTAATTGCATATTAAAAGAGTTCGATGTATTGAATTCAATGGTGAACCTTAGTGAAATGCTTCGTGCAGTCAGAGATTTAAATGAAATAATGAAAGACGCCTCTACTGAGCGCGATAAATTTACTATTTTTTGGCAATTCTCTACAGAAAACGTTAAAAATTATAAAATTTAAATGCCCAATTTAATAACTAATAAAATCAGCAAAATTAAAATATGCCAATGGAATGCAAATGGCGTAAGCTGCAAATACGCCTCACTTGTGCAGTTTCTCTCATTTCGTAAAATTCACATAATATGTATTAACGAAACAAAATTAAAATACTACGAATAGCGTTTGCGGTGTCTCGCGCTGATTGGACTGGCTGCGGGGCTTTGCCTTGCCTTGCTGGTCTTGCCAGCGCGGGACTATCGCTGACGCTGCAACCTAATTGGATAGCACGCCTACCTAGACCACGCCTACCTTTAAATTAAATTAAAAATGACTAAATTGCCATTGCTAAAATATGGTGAATTTATCAAGCGTTTATAAATCAGTTTTAAAGGGTTTTTTTCTTTTGTTTTTCCCTGATAAATATTCCTAAATATATATAATTCATCTTAAATAAACTATTTTCAACATTTTGTCAAAAAAAAATACATAAATACAGCCTAGATTCGCTTTGCGAGTGGTTTGTGAACTAAATTATTATTAAAAAGTAGCAGGATAATTATTGGTATATTTCGAACACCGATTGCTCTATATCTTAACATTGTAAACAGGATTTTAGGTGTTATTTATAGGGTGCGCCTACGCGTAGACGGACCGCATGTGGTCGCAGAGTCTCGCGTTTACCACAAGGCGCTGTACTGTTCTTTTCTAGCTATATAAGATGTATGTAAATATGTAAATAAAATCTCTTTGTCTTTGTCTTTGTCTTTGGTCCTCGTCAGAGGGCGCTTTAAAAATTCATCGTAACAAAAGCGTTCAAAAACCAGTAAAAATTCATCAAAAAATTGTGAAAAGTTGTCAAAATGAAGAATAAGAAAAGACTTAAATAGTGTGTAAGTTAGTTTTTACACTCGACCGCAAAATTAACCGGACACTTTGTTTTTCGGGAAAATATATTTTATAAATAAGAAAATATAAACAAATTTTAATTATTTTTAATAAATCCCTTATTATTAAACATTTTTAACCAGAAAAAATTAAAAAAACATTTGTTAATTATTTATAAAAAAACATTTTTGAAAAATAAAACAAACTAATATCCTTTATTTAACAGAAAATATACAAAAAAATGCCCTAATAGCGAGTATTTCCACCTCTAGCTCGAATGACAGCTCTTAGCCTTTCAGGCATGCCTTGAATTAAAGCAGCCACATCACCCTGAGGTATCTGCTCCCATTCAACCAATAGCGCTTCTTCCAATTGAACCAGTGTGTGAAACTCCCCGTAGTTTTGCCTAATTCTTCTCCCTAGGTTATCCCACACATGCTCAATGGGATTCAGGTCAGGACTTCTAGGTGGCCAGCCCAGAACCTGAATACCAACGTCGTGAAGGTACTGACGCGTTACCTGGGCTGTGTGCGGCCGAGCATTATCCTGCATAAGGAAGAATTGGTCTCCAATAAAGGGTGCATAAGGTACCACATGTTCTTCGAGACACTCCCTTATGTACCTGTCAGCGTTTATACTACCCCCTTGAAACGTTACAAGTGCCGTACGAGCCTCCAAAGAAATGCCTCCCCAAACCATTACACCTCCACCGCCAAACTGTACTCTGGGAGAGAAGCAGCACTGAATATATCGCTCTCCGGGTCGTCTAAACACGTGTTGTCGACCATCAGGTAAGTATCTGGTAAAACGGGACTCATCCGTAAAGAGAACAACCATACCCCAATCGACATGGGTTCGCGCAAATTCCAAGCGCTGTCTACGATGGGCTGCGTCCAACAGTGGGCCAGTGGCAGGTCGATGGGGCACTAAGTTATGTTCCCTCAGTCTTCTTAGTACAGTATCTGATGAAATGGTTGTACCATGAACATCTTCCAATCTCCTAGACAAGGCTGTAGCAGGAAGTGTCCGGTCTCGCAGAACTTGAAGTCGAAGAAAACGGTCTTCAACTTCACTTGTTGATCGCGGTCTTCCTTGTCCAGGTAATCTTGAATAGGAACCTGTTTCCCTAAACCTTTGAATTGCATCAGACACTGTACTTCGGGGAATATTTAGTGAGTTGGCAATATAAAGTATGCTGCGTCCATAATTATAAAGTGCAACAGCTTGAGCGGCTTCTTCGGGAGTCATTACAGATTTTTTAAATAAAAATAACTTTTAAAACAAACTTAGAAAAACCGTAAAAGGCCAAAAACAAACAGGAATAAAAATTAATTGAAGAGCTCTTTTAAATAAGTAATGAATTAAAGAGCTCTTCCAAACAATTAAAATGTTAAAGATATAAAAAATGTATAAAACAATGTCATCGTCGTATTTTAAAGCCTAAAAAACTTTAGAATAAATTAATCTTATATTTTTTTATGTATGTATAGTTGTTACATCAATATACAGGGCGTTTAAGAAATTTTATTAAGGAAAAATCAAGTGTCCGGTTAATTTTGCGGTCGAGTGTAGTTTAGTGTAGTGAAAAAACAGAGATTTTCAAATTTAAAAAGTGTCGAAAACGTGGAGAAAGTGACGGACAGAAATGTAGTGGTACAGGGTGGACGCTCTATAAGTGACACCATTAAACAATCAAGTTCTCCGTATTCGCGGGCAGGATGTCTCGGTAGAGGTCGTGGCGTGTCCACGAAAAACAAAGAAAACGTGCCACGAAGCTCAGTGACCCCAATAGTGCCCAAAAATCCAAAATCCATAGTGCAAGTGCTAAGTGAAACAGTTATTGACCCGTATGGGAATGAACGTACGACCAAAACTGTCAACAACACTGTGCGACATCTAGACACTAATGTAATAATCTCACCATCCACAAATAAAGAAAAGTGCAATACCACTGAACAACAAGAAGAAAACTTCATCAGTGAGTATGAAAAACTAAACAACAGTGTTCTGCTAAACGTGGTTAGAAAAGAAGTTGGACTTCCTGAAATACCCACATCAAACGAACAGATTCCTTCAACCAAAGTATTACGTAGCGACACTGAAGATCGCTGTAATGCCATCACGGAGTGTAGTGACAAAGAAGATCGCTACTCCGCCATCGTAAAGGAATCTGTATCGCAAAACATAGAATTCAAAGAAGTTTCCCACTTTAAAAATCCAACTGAAAACGAAGTGCGACATCTAGCAGAGAGAAGCCGAAAACGAAGGAAGAAAAAGAAGAAACCTGTCGACGGGTACGCTTCGGATACCAGCAGTGCATCCTGTGCTCCTGATACCCGAAAACCGAAAAAGACTGCTAAAATCCCCAAAACAACCCCCAAAATAAGCAAAACTGTTCCCGATATGATAACGGGAGACGTAAAAGAGGTTCCCGAAAACCCAAATGCGGTTCCACCCCCAAATAATGGCCAAAATGATAAAAATGAAGGAAACCTACAAGAAAAAGGTATTCCTGGAAAACCCACCCCCGTTACTGAAGAACCCTTTGTAATACCAAGGAAAATTATATCCTTTAAATCCATTAAAATTAAAGAAACCACTGAACAAGTCCAAATTCCATTAAGGAACAAATTCCAAGACGCTGAAGCCACCCCCTCAACATCCACCCAACAAACAGCCACCCAGGAAGTAATGGATACGGCAAACGGAGAAACACAAAACCAACAACCAACCAACATCTGCAAAAGGAAACTCTAATCAAGAAATTACCAGTAGAAAGGAAAAAACAAAACCACCCCCGCCAATAATAATAGCCGCCAAATTTGATTCCCACCAAGAAGGGATAAATGGACTTAAACAAGTAATAAATGGTAAATTTACTATTAAATATACCAAGAAAAACATTGTCCTAAATGTAGAAAGTATGGACGACTACAAAAAAATGTTAACACAACTTAGGGAACAAGAAGAGGAATACCACACCTATACTACAGAAAACGAAAAAACCCACGCATTCATCTTGAGAGGGATGGATGCCCCAGGTATCGAAATAGCGGAAATCCAGAAAGCCCTTGAAGAACAGTACAAGCTCGAGGTATATAAATTATACCAACTAACCACCAAATTTCGCCCGCTTTTTATGGTGGTCACAAACGCAAATGTCACCCTATCCTGGATGAACCAGACGGTACAATTCTTACTAAACACCAGGGTTTACTGGGAAATGCGACGCAATGACAGGCAAATAATACAGTGCCACCGCTGTCAAGAATGGGGGCACGCGACGTCAAATTGCTATAGAAAATTCAAATGCATGAAGTGTGCCCAGGACCACCCCACAAGAGAATGCCAAAAGAGCAACAAAATAGCCGCACTTTGTGTAAATTGCGGGGGTGACCACCCTGCATGCTCCATACTCTGCGATGTATACAAGTATAAGCTCAAAAAACTTGAAGAAAGGAGAGTTGGACAGCGCACCACACAAAAATACGTAGATGCACCACCCCCTACAACCAACAAATGGGCCCAAAGAGAAGAGGCCAGAAAAACTCAGCAAGAACGACTCAGAAACACCACCAACAACACAAAGCAAAACAACAACATAATTGACCGAGCACCCAGTAACTCCTTTCAGGAGACTATTTCGCAATTCGCCACCCTTAACACACTTTGCAACATGGGAGAAATGCTTATGGCCGTCCGGGACCTATGTAGTAAGATGCAATTGGTAAACACTAAAACTGAAAGATTTACGGTTTTCGCAGAATTCGCAATATACGATATTAACAACTATAACATTTAAATGGCCCCAAACAATAACCTCATCATAACTCTCTGGAATGCAAATTCCCTAAAATTTAAAATACCCACCCTAATCCATTTCCTTAATTCCCATCACATAGATATCCTAGTAATCAACGAGACCAAGCTCAAGCCTGAGAACAAACTCAAAATAAAAGGTTATATAACACACCGTCAGGACCGCCCCGGCATCCATAGGGGTGGAGGGGTGGCAATACTAATAAAAAACCATATAGCTCACACCCGGCTTAAACAAAGAGCGTCATCAATCGAACACATCACAATAAAAGTAAACAACATTCAAATCATCGCAACTTATAATCCACCTAATAACTTATACAGTGTGTTCGACTTGATGACGCTCATTGATAGACACGATAAGGCCATACTTCTCGGCGACCTTAATTCCACCAATCGCCTGTGGAACTGTCGCAGGGGCAACAGGAATGGAACCACCCTTTTAAATTACATTGACACGTCTAACTGTATATTATCCTACCCCAACGAACCCACCCATTATCCCGCTAATAGCATGCACCCATCCACCCTAGACATTGCCAGTTAGCTCGTGACCCAGCTCGTGACCCAGAGCCCAAACACGAACTGGACTCCGACCACCTGCCGGTATTTTTCACCCTAAAAACGAAAATCGACCCACCCCCACCCCCACGAACTTTTTTCAACTACAAAACCACAAATTGGAAAACGTATCGCGATTTTCTATCACTTAAAACCCAAATTGACAACGCCATTGAAAGCACCCCCCAAATAGACAATGCAATAGAATTGTTTACCCAAAATTTAGTCCAAGCCAGATCTTTAACCACAAAAATATTAAAAGTAAAACCACCCCTCGACGATATACCAGAAGTCACTAAAACCAAAATTAAAGACAAAAACAAATACAAAAGGCTCTATAACACCCATAAACTGCAATTCTATAAAGACCTTTAATAATAATAATAATAATATAATCTTTATTTCAAAATTTGCACATACAAAATTAATTAAACAGTATATATACAAAAGGGAAACATGTCAAAAAAAAGAAATGAGAACATTACAAAACAAACATATCATTGAATGAGTAGGGCTCTAAATCACAAATCCAATCATAGACTTTCTTTTTAAATAATTTAAAAGTATTTATGTTTTTAATATTATTTGGTAATGTATTAAAACATTTTATGCAGGCATATAAAGTACCTTTTTCAAAAATGGAAAGTCTATGATAAGGATAGTAGTAGTGTACATATCTCAAATTTACCGACCTATATTGTTCAAATAACTTTTTGTTTTTAAACATAAACAACAATAATTCATAAACATATACACCACTTACAGTAAGTATTTTATTTCTTTTAAAATGCCCTTTACATGAAGACATATATCCTAATCCTAACATTTCACGTAAAACTCCTTTCTGACATAAAAATACCTCTTGTACAATAGTACTCTGACCCCAAAAAATTATACCATACCTTAATAAAGACTGAAAATTTGCATGATAAACAGTTTTCAATGTTTGAAAATTTACATATTTTCGTATAACCCTTATAGAAAACAGAGTTTTATTTAATTTGCTACATAGCTCTTCAACATGATACTTCCAATCTATGTTTTCATCTATTTGAAGGCCTAAAATTTTTGTATTTTTATTGATTTTAATTGTAGTAGTATTGTTAAATGTAATTTCATTAAAATTTTGAACATTTGAATGTTTGGTCTTAAAATGTATGCAATTTGTTTTGTCTTTATTAAGTATGAGCATGTTGTCATTGAACCATGTTTCAATATTTGATACAAAAGTCTTGGTATCCGTAAGTAATGTATTATAATTTAATGATTTAATTAAAAGATTTGTATCATCGGCAAAATTTATCAATTTTTGAGAAGGATTTTGGATAACTGAAGTTAAATCATTCAAATATATTATAAAAATAATTGGTCCTATGACACTGCCTTGTGGTATTCCAATCTTTGTATTAAGAGGGTCAGAAGTAGTTTGATGACCATCCCTCTCTACTATAACTTTTTGAGTTCTATTTGTGAGGTAAGACTGTATCCACAGCAGTGCATTTCCCCTCACTTCGTTATCATTAAGTTTTTCTAACAGAATTTTATGATTTAAGCAATCATAGGCCTTTGACAAATCTAGAAACACACCCATACAGTGTTGTTTTTGGTCAAAACTTAATAATATTTCTTGAATAAAGTCAAACACGAATTAAACAATTTAAACGTATTAATATTAATATAATAGGTTAAGGCAAGAAATTAAGTTTGAAATCAGAGATCACAGAAATGCAGTTTGGGGTGAGTTATTAGAGCGTCTCAAGCCATCTGACAATAGTCTATGGAATGTAGCTAAGAGATTACGGGAAAAATCAGACATTCCCACTTTACATTCAAATAATGAAGCACATTCCACAGACGAAAAAAAGGCCAGTATTTTGGGTAAACAATTCTGTGATATTCATAAAATTGATTTAACCACCCTAACGGACAAACATCGTGAAATCTTAAATATTGCTAACGATCGGGGCCTGCTTCCGGACGCTTTGCCACTAAACGCCAAATTTTTAACATCCCCTGCTAAAATTAGTAAAATAATTAAGAACATGAAAAATAAAAAAGCTCCGGGCATTGATGGTATAGATAACATCATGTTGAAAAACATACCAACCAAAACCGTAGTTCAATTAACCTATATCATCAATGCCTGTATTAAAATAAGTTATTTTCCCAGCGCCTGGAAGCACGCCACGATCATCCCAATTCACAAAAGCGGGAAAGACCCATCCCTCCCTACCAGTTACAGACCCATAAGCCTGCTCAGCAGCATCTCCAAGATACTCGAAAGAGTAATCTTGGGCAACATTGATGCTGCTGACAGGAAACTTAAAATAACACCCGACGAGCAATTTGGGTTCAGGGCCGGCTTTAGCACAATACATCAAGCCACTAGAATAGCTCACGACGTCAAGCAGGCATTTAACAAGAACCAGAATACGGTTATGGCCTTGCTTGACGTCGAGAAAGCTTTTGACAGAGTTTGGCACGACGCGACGGCCTAATAGCAAAATTAATTCAATTCAAAATTCCAGCTCAATTAATTAAAATAACAAAATCTTTCATTTCAAATAGAACTTTTCAAGTAAGCATTAACAACAAAAAATCCCTTTGCTATTGGAGCCGAAGTGCCCCAAGGTACGGTCCTGGCCCCAAAATTATACTCTCTCTTTACAGCCGATTTCCCCAAATCTAAATATACCAACAATAGAATATTTACCCAACTCAACCTCGGTGGCTCCCAAATATTGCCTAAAACGACAGTTAAATACCTCGGCATAATTTTTGACAGGCGGCTGACTTTTAACCCCCACGTGCAATCGCTCAGAGCTAAAGCATACAATGCAATGCACAAAATTTACCCGCTCATAAATAAAAGCAGCGCCCTGTAAATTATTAATAAAACTATACTTTACAAAACCATCATTAGACCTGCCATAACCTATGAATGCCCGGTGTGGTGTTCCATCCCTGACACCACCTGCCTAACCATTCAACGACTCCAAAACAAGGCCCTTCGGCACGTCACCGGTGCCGGCAGGTACGACTCAGTGGATGAGATGCATAACTTAACTAACATAGAACAAATCAGAGATTTCATAACTAATCAGTCGAATAATTTCTATTCGCACAAGCTAGGCATCTCACCACTAACAAAAAATATAACCAAACTCAGCGCTGAGCACAATGTCCACTATAAACACAGGCTGATTTACGGCCTACTGCCTATTTTCCACGAACCCCTACCCCCTCCCCGTCCTAATCATATTGATTAATAATTAAAAACATACTTGGAGCCATTTAAATGCGAAGAATCATAGATGAGTCGTTATTGTATCTTTACATGGCGATTCAGAGCGAAACATAGACCATACCAATTTCCT